TTCAAATATTTACTGTTAAAACACATGATCATTTAGAGAGGAAATCTTGTAGATTTTATGAACTTTTACTCTAAGCACGTTGGAAACTTGAGAGCTCTTCGTGCAAAGCATACTTAATTTCAAAAATATACAAAATTTGATATCTGCAAAGGTATTCGATGTAATTCCTGATTAGATTAATTGCCTGCGACATATCGATATCAAATCACTACATACATCACATATATACTATATGTATCCTGAAATTATATTAGACATTAATCGAATTCTCAGGGACCAGGGCCGAATTAACCTTCTCACAGTCTCAATTAATACTATGAAAGAAATTAAAATTAGGGGAGTACCCAAAGGAACTAAATGAGAAAAACACTAGTAGTTTATAAAAAATATTGATTTTGTAATTCAATGAAATCTTTACCAGGTTTAAAATATCAGTAAAAATGTTGTTATTTCTAATTTCCAAGATTAGTATTTTATCTTAAATTATTTACTGATTGAAGTTATTGACTTTCCTAGTTGTTTTTATAATGTTTAATCCAGTGATTTTAATTTTATTTTTTATTTTATGTCTTATTTTTTCGAGAATTTTTCTTGTATTTATTGTTAATTCTTATTTTTATAGATTTTTATTATTTATGTTATTTATAAGAGGAACTGTGATTCTTTTGGCTTACATGAGTGGTGTAATTATTATTTCTTTCTTTACTTAAAATGTTTAGAACAGCTTCTATAACTCTCTCTCTCCTGCTCTCACACTACCTCTCTTTTCGTTCTCTTTCTTTATTCGCCTCATTTTTTTATGTTTTCATGTTATCCCTTCCTATTTTTCTATCTCTTTTCCTAGGTCCTTTTTTCTCTTTTTTCTTGCTATCTCTTTTTCATTATTTACTCTGTACCATCTCTTAATTGAGGGATACACGAAAACAACATGTTTATTGACCTCATTCCTTACAATTTTAAAATATTCAAGTTTAAGCCATCATGAAAAATCGCATGACCCGTGTATGCAATCTGCTCGCAATGAGCATCAAAAGTTCAAAATTCCACATAATTCAGATCATGATTTCTCTTTGTTTTTATTGAAAAACTTGCCATAAACACAAAATTGATCCATGTAGAGTGTAGTGGATCTGCGAGAATAAATTTAGCTTTCGTGCCTGGAGAATGCTAAAATGTCTCAAGAATGTCAACAATTTCAGGAAATTTTACATCTCTGTTTGCGCGCAGGAGGGGAGATCATGCTTTTTTCGCTCTTTGCGGTCATGCTAAACCTCCAGCAATTTGAATTACTTTGTTCAGCCCTCTCGATAATTTCAAGCGTGAAATTGAGTCTGAAGGGCTAGCATGCTTGCCTCTCAGCAAACTGGCATGCTAAAGCTGTTGTGACGTTTAACAATAAAGCCAAGAGGAAATCACTGAGAAATAGTGCCTTGGCACCTACTGTTTATCGATCATTTTCTGTGATCGAAAGAAGCGTAAAAATGGTTTCAGTTAAAACAAAAAAACGCATGCCCAAGAGAAAAGAAAACTATTCGTGGTAGCAAAGCAAGCAGCGGTGAAGCGAGGTTAATTGACTATCGATATTTCCCCGTTTGAAGCCATGGTAAGGAATCGATTATTAAGTGTACGTTGCGAACTCCCTGTTTATCGTTCCTTTTCCATAAAAAATGGCAGATCAATCGATATCTCGCAGAGCACGCAACGCCGCCGAGAGCAAAGGTTTCTCTCGACAAAATTTTAAAATTCGAAAATTTTAAATGTTTCTCCAAGTTAATTACCTGACTTAGAATCGTAATATTCTCATATGGTAGAAAAGCCTAAAGTCAAAATGTGCAATTTAAATATCGCTCTGTTATAAATGGCTGCGATATTCTAAGATATGTGCGTTGAAATAGAGCATTTTGAAAATTTCGCTTTTAAAACATTTACCTAACGATGAAGTTGGACGAATTTCTGCCAAACAGAACTATGTGCACTATGATATGAGCCCTGAGACCTATAAGAATATATGAATGATAGGGCTCACGTCATAGTGCACATAGTTCCGTTTGGCAGAAATACTTCCAGTTGTAGAAAGAACTTAGCAGTAATTGAATCAGTGAGTTCGAAAACACACCAACTCGGGTTTTTTTTCGATTTTCACTTTTTTACGGTTCAGTAGGTAACACTTATTGATAGAAGTATCTGCACGCAGAAGGAAATTTCGAAATTGCAATCGGAAGTGCTCGAAACAGCGACGGGAAAAGGGAAAAATCGAAGTATTTCATTGGAAATACCAATTTTTGGCCATTTCAAGGGAAACGGGTGACAATCCGATTTTGCGGTTTTCTTTTTTCGGTTCAGTTTACCTTGTACCAACAAGTTATATAAATATTCAAGCGTTATTCAGGTCGAAAAATATAAATTTTTCAGGGCAGACTATGAAAAATCAGTATCTGAAAGTCAATGAGAACGAAAACACACAAACTCGGAAATTTTTAAGCGCTTAATTCTCTGTCATCAAACATGGTGTATCGATTTCAACTTGGTGCGTTACAAAGTCTCTAAGTACTTGTCCTTTGGCACCAAAAAGGTTTTTCTCAAGCTAACTTCTTCGCCCGCTGCGCAGTTTTAGGTGTTTCCTGAACAATTTTATTTTCCGAGTTGGTGTGTTTTCGAATTCACTGATTCAATTAGACAGTGCAGTGACAACCCTACCGACAAAGTTCAATTCGAGGTGCAACTGATACTGCATTCAGATAATTCTCAGCGAGGAGAAATCACTATTATTTGAGAACTGGGCGAATGACTCAATGAAAGAAAACGCTAATTCATAAATCACTGATCAGTTAATCAGAGGCCGCCGCGCCGGTTGTGTATGCCAGGGGTCACGTTTGTTGGTTGACTCAAGACAGATAAAGTAGGATTTTGAACTCAAATTTGTCATAATGTGTCTTTGGAGAGAAACGAATCCCAAAGGAAAGAGACTACGAGAGACATAAAAACAATTATTGTGGAGAAATATGAATTTGAAAAGTTTAAAGACTTAGAAATTATTTTATGTTGATGCACTGCTTTCAGTGCATGGAGCATCCACTGTGTTTTGGATGAATCACCCCCCCCCCTCCAAATAACAGTATAAAAGAGGAAACAAAAAGATTTAGTCTGTACTTTCTCACAAGGAATATGGCAATGGTAGCGTACACTCAAAAAACAAGTATGGGAAGAGTGACTTGCCGGCCGAGTTATGGATCATGGAGCCATAAAATATAGTTCGTAGAGCCATGCTTATAGGTTCACGACCAGTAAAGTATGGCTCAGAAAGCCATACTGTAGACGGTAAGTCACTTTGGTTAGAAATTATGGATCTCCTAACCATTTTTCATTGGTCTCAGAGTCATACCTTTTATTGAGTGATGCAGGGGAAGAATTTTTTTCTTTTTTTGTTGTGGATCGTTCAAATACCAAAAAAGCACGGTACCCAGAATTTTTTAGCGGAAAAATGAGTTTTTTGGAGGCCATTTGCAAGGCTCGTATTTCCCAACCTCAAAAAATTCTTAAACTGCTGGAATAATGATATAATTAAGTGGAAATGTATTTCAATGGGCCCTTCCTGAGAACTTAAGCATGCTCTGTCCCCGTGCAGCACCATAAAATTGCAAGTGAAAGCGCAGACCGAAACTTCCTAGCACATAGTTTCGGGACGTATATCGTTTGATCGCCTCTCGATTGAACAATCCGAAGGAACCGAAATGCACCTTGATGAACTATTTACGAGAACAGCTTTGCTATTAGTCTCGAGTTTTATCCTTTGAATGTATCGTTGAAGTAATTAATTATTCCTTATTGGCAAAGAAGTCAAAAAATATGAAAAAGACACGTTTCCAAATTTTCCGAGCCTTAAAAATTTAAAAAATGATACTGCACCGAATTGAGAGCAGTTCTATTTTTGTCCTAAAGTAAGACTAGTGGAATATGAGTTCTTCGCCCTCGCCTCTGTCATTACTCTCCTCACTTTTCTTTGAAAGAGGGTGTAAATTGATATTTAAGACGTTACATGCACGTATGTCACCCTTGCGTTACTTCCCCTAACATATTCCATCCCAAGCAATTTGATATTTTGGCAAGAGAGCAGCACTAACACTCGCGCATCTCTCGCGCGATGTGAACTCACTGCATGGATTTCAGCTTCACTATAGTAATTATTTTTAATTTATTGCCCTCCCATGTTTACTTTTTCAAACCGACTGTCTCAAAAAAAGCCGATTACTGATTAAGAATCCCATGACAGCAATGCTACCGCCTCCCTTGGTCATATTGTGACAATGTCATCCCGACATTGTGCTTTGTAGCGAGCTTATGGAATTAATAAAAAATTATGTAGAACTCGTGAGAAAAAATGTAGGTATTATGAAAAAATAAATATTATAAATACAAAATTGATAAAAAAAAAAACCATATTTCATTGTTAATTTTCCGACGCTTTTTATGATTTTTTGGTTTAATAAAGCTTAAGTAAACTTGTACAAGTCGCGGTGTCGACAAAAACTTTATGAAAACTTGTAAAAAAAAAAAGATGAATTGACAAAACGAAATCCTTTTTGGAAAATTTTTCTGGTGCTCTATAATTGTTTCTTACGGTTTGTTATACTACTTTTTCCAAATCTGGAACGTAGTACGCCCTTTTCACAGGATCTTCTCATCACAGAAGGGGGGGGGGGGGGAGTTCCTTCAAAATTTCTGTACCGGAACGATAAGTTTACAAAGGTTGTTTCGCGTAGGAAAAAAAATTTAGAGTAAGATGAAAAACTGACTCTGAAACAAGTTTTTCAGACTTTGTTTATGTTGCCTCCTTCGCTTGTCATAAATTTGTTAATAATAATTGTACACAGACGTTAGCGTCAAGAAAACGAAAAGGCCAGCCCAAGAGAACAAGTCACCATCCACTCGCAATTTTCAGGAACCCACACACGCACGCACCACCATCCACAATTCAGCGTAAGAAAAAAGTTTATATTTACTTGATTCGTACGTCGGCTAGGATTCCGGGAGCTGTAGGATGAACACATTGCGCGCGGGTCTCGATACGAGAACGTAAACAAACACCGAAGACACAACCGCGAACTACATGGACGGACGCATCGAATGCACTTGCACTAGCGTGGACCTAACCTCAAAGGCCGACTCGGGGGGAAAAGCGAGCGTCCTTGCGCGCGGCGGCAAGGATCACGACTGAAAGGAGGAGCGGAGCGCTACTTTGGAGTTGGATCGGATGGGCTTATGGAGTCCG